CGCTACGCCACTGGCTTAGGATAAAGAATTAAAAAACCACCAATGTAACATTCTTAATTAATAGCTTTATGAGTTACCACAGTAAAATTTTAATGTAAAAAAAAATATTTTTTTGCTTTAAAAATCAAACAACTAAACAGTTGTACTGGTAAAAATATTTTAATAGAAATCTTTTCAATTGACTGACTTCTGATTCTTATGGCATGTAGTAAAATAGATTTATGGTATATTAAAATTTTGTGTAAATATAATAAGGAATGTACAGAAAAATGCTCTTAAACAACATATAAGTATATTTATGACTCATCAACATGCACAAGGAAGATAAATTGACTAAAGAGTAAAAAAGGTTTTGTTCATAAAATGGTTGAAGGAAATTAAACAGGTACATTTTTAAAGCAAATGTGTAGAATTTGATGGTGGCAATATATTATTACTCTAAAATCTATTTATAAAATTTTTAGGAACTTAAAAATAAATTGGCTCATCCAGGTGTGAGCAACCAAAATCTGCATGTAGTACTTTGAATTTATAAATGTGTCTCTTTTCATAAATTGAATCATTTTTACAGACCTGTATTGCGATTACAATCCCGAAATATTTTCTTAACGGCTTTAATTCATAAAATTGCTCCTTCATCCAGAATGGTTGCAGACCCATGGTCTAACCCATATTTTTACATGAAAACTAAAAGAATTTTACATGGATAGAAATGCGTGATTTTTTTGTTTAGTAGGCTCAATTTTCAAAGCTCTTATAAGATATTTCATGAACAAGTGACAAATGTGTAAATCAGAAATTAAGTATTTTCTTATATGCTTGGTAAAAAACAAATGCATTTGGTTCCATCCAGTGGCATTGCTATGACTTCTTAAAGTGGGTGAAGTTTTATGGTGGGTGTCTGAAGAATGCTGGTGGACATTCAGTCCACAGTTTTAGCACAGCATAGTTGTATAGATTAGGCCTATATATTAAAGTGGGCCCAGTAAGATGGAGTGTTTGTTCAAATAAGAAAAAAAAAACCCCATGGATATGCCACTGGATCCATCACAAAAAAATAAAACAATTTTGATTTTTTGCTCATTGCAGTAATTACGACTGCGGCAAAAAAAAAAAAAGATGGACTTTTATTAACCTTTCAATTAATTACAATCATCTAGAGCAGGGGTGTCAAACTCAATCGCTCGGCGGGCTAAAACTCTAATCACATGTAAGGTTGTGGGCCGAACAGGATAAACATTCAATTAGCGGAAAATAAATCTCTTTTTTTTTTTAAATTTATATAAATGAAAACAGAAAAATTTTGTTAATTAAAAATCATTGGCATACCCATTTTCATTCTTATGCAGATTTGTCAGAGCTGGATGTTTGGCACATTTTCTTGGCTACAAAAACAAATAATTTCGTTTATGTTGCGAGTAACGTTATGTGTCATTGAGATTCTCATGATAGACTGCAAGTGTGGTGTTTTGTTAATCTTCATCACGGAAAAAAGCTGCTGACACATATATGTGCCACCAAACATACACAAGGTTTGAGCCACATGAAAATGGGGCATCTCTTCAGAAATGAAACAAGAGAACTGTGCAGGCCCAACTGTGTCGTACTTTTCCTTTAATGTCCAATTACACTGCGGCTTTACTGCAAATTTACAGGTGCAGTTTCCACATCTATGACAAATGGGTTACGAAACTGCTCGAAATTACATTTTTGTGCTTGAAAGTCACTAAAGCGCTGTGTGAACTCGACGCAAAATAAGCAAAGTTTTTCAGCAAAGTATGCATTGGGAAACACCATAGCGTTGACTTGGATATAATAGTACGCCGGTCAAGACCTCGCGGGCCTGATATAATTTTTGGCGGGCGGGATGAGGCCCATGGGCCTTGAGTTTGACACATATGGTCTAGAGATACAAGACGACTAAAGACAAAAAGCAAATTTCATTTTCAATATATTCCGAGAGTTTAGTAAGGTATAAAAAAAATTCTTTTACAGTACCGGGTAATAAGAGACCATAGCCATAGCCATAACAAAGCCTTGCTGTCAATCAAAGTTCTCATAGCAGTGACAAACATATATGATAAGGATAACATGATAACATTTAAGATAAGGGAGTATTTTCTTGATTAGAGTTGTTCTTTTAACACTATTTGTTTACAACTTTAAAATGAAAACAGAACATATTTTTATATGTAATAGCTGGCTGGACCTTAAGCCTACATCTCATTAGCAATCAAGGTTTATTTAATGAGAGTGAGTAATAATTAATTATTTTTTTTTATTGCAGGATTTTTTGACGCTAATAATTGTATTAAACATGATGAAAACACATTTTTCAACCATGTCTTATTTTACATAATAATTTGATAATGCTTAATGAAACCATAAATGCATTGGCTGTACAAAGATCTGTTCCTGTGCCATCAAACACAAAGTTAAGGCACTTTTAGATAATAGGACAATACAAAATTCAGATTATTACATTATAAAAACATGCATACAATTACAATTTTTTTATTTTCATGTAATTAATAGATTTACCTAAAATCAGTGGCACAGCAAAGGTTCCTGCCGCCCTAGGGGGCGTGGGAATAATTTTACTGCTCCGCTTCAATGAAAAAAAAAATCTCTGCAGTTGGCCAAAAATTTTGATCCTTCTTATAAAGAAAAAAGTCCCGTCCTGGAGGGACTGCCCCCTCCATACCTCCCTTTCTACAATACTGCCTAAAATAGTAATTAGTAATGTTCTGAGTCATCAATATAAGGGTGAAAAACTCTGAATAGTTTCATTACACATTAATATGAAGTTCTAATTTATTTTTTTAAAGAAAGCAACCTAGCAGTAAATAATTCCATTTTTGTACAAAAATATGCATTCATTGAAAAGAAAATAGCACAAGATGGAAGTTTATTTAAATAAAAATTTTGTTCATTTATTATTTCAATATAGCTGCACTGTTGTCAAATGTTTAATTTTTTTAAACAGAAAGGTTATTTTCCCTTTATTCCCCCCCCCCCCAAACCCACCACACATTGTTTTGCTTCTAGTTCAAAACTGTAAAACATAAATATAAACCAGTAATGATCGAGGATGACCCTGATATTAATGAGATAACAGCCCCTTTGAGACTACGATGTTTGCTGATATTTCTGCTCTGTAGCAGTTTGATACCCAGGCCAATATATACATACATACCACACATATCGCCCAGGGTGAAGTAAATAGAGAGTTGATTTTTGGAAGAAAAAAAAAGCAATATAATTTTAGTTGTTATTTTCTTAATTTTTACAGGGTCAATAAAAATCTGCTAGATAACTAACTATAAATAGACTATGTCGTGGGATGGAGTGAGAGGGAAGGTGAAGTGGGTAAAAATTTTATCGTTGCACAAAAGGAAGCAAAGTAAATATATTAAGAAAGTACTTTTTCATAAAATTTAAGCGCATGTGGAAATTTGCACCGGGGTGTGGTGGGTGGGGGAATTTTTTATGCTCTAACCCCAACTCCCCCACCCCCACAAATTGCCTGAATACTACCCCAATTTCCCTCCCGCACAAATTGTATTTAATACCTCTAACTCTTCTCCCCCAAAAAATTGTATGTAATACCCCAACTTCCCTCCCCAAGAAATTGTATTTACTAAGCCCAACTCCCTCCCCCCCTTCTAACTCTGTGGAACTCAACTAAGATGATGCTCTTTTAATGTTTGGAATGATATGAAAAATGTACCTTTACAATTATTTTCCATAAAGACACCTTTCCATCTTTGCCTTGAAAATGCCCAGACCAGTCGTGCCTTCCTTCCCAAATTAAGATGTGAATAATAAATACCCACTGATTCATTATCACTATTTGTATATCCCTTTTGCTAGTGACATTAAAAAAATGACCTGAAACTTTGTAGCATGAAGAGCAAGCACCCTCTTTAAAATCTAACAATATCAGCATTTCTGTTGGCAGATGTGAAAGGAATATTATATGTATCTACACTTATTTACAACTTTTGTGAGAGAAGTTTAATTAAATTTGTATGGTTAAACAAAGGACATGTTAAATGACATGACATAATTAATTTTCTCTGACAAAGAAACAATAATGTTGCATATTTCTTCTGTTTAAATGGAATATAAATTTGATGCATGTATTTGGAGATATGTTGATGATTATCACTTTCCTTTTCATAAACACTAGCACACAAAAATATTTGGAGGAAAAAAAATAAGTGTGAACTATTGAAAGCATTTCAATAGTTACCAGGGCTGCCACTCACTCTTTTTTCAAAATTCCCAAGTTCTTGGGAGATTTCCAAATGTATGGAAGCCCTGGTTACTGCTCTAAACTACAAATGTGTATTTGAATTATGATTCACTACCTGAAATCTTTCATGTGCATTTTAAGTAAAATTTTCAACATGTAATTACTGGAAAAATATAATATACTTCGCCAAATTAATTGCATAGTTATTAAATTAGTGCATGCTGCCTTTTGAATATTCCTTGCTTGTCAACACAAACATTTAAATACTATTATCCAGAATTGACTTTAAAAAAACATTTGTACAATAACAATATTGAGATCTGTATTTTAAAAGAGAAGTTAGTTTATCTTAAAAATCATATTAATTCTGTATACAGATTTGTATTAAGTTATTAATGATATTTATTTATCCATCTTTGAGCTTGTCAAACAAGATTTCACAAATAAAAATGTGTCCTATATATTATTTGAGCTATACAATATAAATGACAGAGGCATAAAATTTGTCAATTAAAGGTAATACAGAAATTTTTTTGTAAGATATTCAGAAAAAGAATACTTTCACTTTTACATCAATAATTTCATAAAATACATCTTGCTTCTTTTTTTAAGTAACTTATATTTTGGAAATTTTAAAACAACTGTTAAGGAGAAAGAGAATTTTTTTTAAAAAATGCAACAAAATTTTATTATAAAATTAAGTAAAACAAAACTTAATTTCAACATTTCAATTCTTAACTCCCCGCTGCGGAATTTTTTAATTGAAAAAATTAAAAAAATTTTTCCAAGAGCAAAAAAGAGTAAGAGGCTGGGTTTATTGAAAAAATATTTAAAATATTATTGTTTGGTTCATAAGACTAAACTTGGTATCAAATGAAAGATGATTGAAAGAACTATATGTTTGTAAACTTATTTCTTTAGTTTAAATAAAATAAGTTAAAGAAAAGAACCATAAAATGAGAAAACATTACATGCTAAACAATTTTTTCCCCAAACCCTATGATGTACGCATACCTCATCTTAATTTCTATAACTCAAATCCTTTAAAACTACTACTTTCGGAATCATGCGATGAATCTAAATATAAATGATCTTCACTATCAAAAGAAATAGTATAAAACAATTCCAAAGCTTTTTGAGCTGTTAATCTTAATGAAACTTACTCACCTACTAGGGCCTAGAGTAGCCATAGCAACAGTAGGAAAAAAAAGCGAAGAAAATTATTAAAATAATTTTTCAAATTTATGGCAACAAATATACCTTGGTTTCGCTTATAAACAATGAAGTACCACTCTTCCATGTAAAAGTCTGATTTAAAAATAGCTCTTAAAAAGTTTAACTGAGAAATAGAAAAGAAACAAACAAGATATCGAAACAATGCAGATTGCATTGGTCTGTGCTAGATATTTGCAGAAGTGATTTTCTTTTAAAATAGGTATTGATATGCTCAATATCAGTCAAACCAAAAAAAAAAATTTAGGTCCAAACTAAATTGAAATGTCAATCAACGGCAGATTTTTAATTCTACTGAAATTGTTTGCACATTAATCTGTGCCTCACGTTTTTTAAATACCTGAAACTATTATTTGTTATGAATTAATTATTAATGCCAAATCAAATTTAAAAAAAAAGGAAATAAATTGTTAGCATTTGACTACTGTGTGGGAAATTAATATCCTAAAACTTTTTAACAGTTTTTGAAAAGACAAGTTTCATTAAAGCAAATGGCAGCTGGAAACAATGGCATGTGTATAGTATAAAGTTATTACAATTAAATCATGAAGCAAATAGTACTGACTTTCAGTAGTGCTACAGCTGAGAAATATCACTCTTAACTTGAACAGTCTCACCGGCAGGCAGCTGGCTTGTGTTTTCAGCATGTAACGGTAGGCATTGAGTTGTGTTGGCAAGAGCCTGATGGTATGCTTCCAAATTTATGCTTGCTTCACGAAGAACCTAAAACAATCATCAACAGTTTGTAAATATAAAAAAAATAATAATAAAAAGATACTAGCTTAAAAATGAATTGAAAATGTACATTTGGAAATGGCGTCAGTGAGCCGTCAAGCTAATACAAGCTCTTAATGCCCTCCCCAAAGTACCCTCCCATAAGTCCAAAAAGTCCCCCAATTTTTGGGCCATGAAGTGGCATGTTGGGACAGGACAGCCCCCCCACCCCCTGCCCGCACTCACTCGATTGATCAATAACGGGGGCCATCCCAGCCAAAGGACATCTGGATGGCCAGTGATGGTGCTTTCACAACGTCAGCAGTTAACTTTCCTAGTAGTCGTGATAGTGAATTTACGTCCTAATATATCCGCCTGCCCATCCCGGACAAGCATCAGAGGCCCTCTAATAGAGATTTCTACAGTGAGTTTCTACCACCTTATTTGTTTACGAAATAGCTAAACGGGACTAAACGGTTGCCTGGGAACAGCCTCCTCAATGGCTTTATAATAAACTAAAATTTTCAAATGAACTATACGTTGCAAAGTTTCATGTTGTGTTATTTTTATTTTAAACTATTTACAGTCAACAAATATTAAAATTAAAATTTGCACTCTTGTACCATTAAAACTCAAAGTCTGATAACTCAAAGGCTTTTAATGACAAATAATGACTTACTCTCAGGTGATCCTCAACATCAGCAAGACTCTGATCTATCCAGTCGAGGGTGCCAGACATTCGACAGGCATTCTTAGTAATCATTACCAGGTGGCTAACAGACAGCACCAGAGCAGTGAACCTGTTGGAATTAATGTTTTCAAAATATTCATAAATAAGCCTTTAGATTAGAGAACAAATCTGAACAATATTTGTCTTTTACCTTATTATGAAAAGCCAAATATTTAATAGACTCTGCTACTCAAATAAAACAATATTCTGTAATGAATACTATATTGCTTGACACATTTTAAAATTATTTTTATTAGGTTTTGATTCCTGAAAAGATCAATTTAAATATTAGTTTATGAGAATCATCTTAAAACAAGAAATACTTCCATCACCAAAACAATATAACTTCTAGGATTCCATAAACTGTTTAAAATAAGTCTTTCCCTCTGATTATGTAAAACGCTAAAAATAGTAAAAAGAGAATGGCTAAATATCCTGAGATAATCATTTATAAATTACCATTAATTACCTGGCTTCTAAAAGCCTTGGGTCTAAGGGATGATTGAATGACTGAACAACTTCATCCACACGGGGGTTGATGCGCTTGGTGGCAGATACTATTTCAGTCAATGTCTCCTGAGTGTGGATGTTGGGTGCATTCCCCATTGTCATACCAACGAGCTTCTCTGTCAGATGGTGGCAGGTCTTCAAAATTGATAAGCAGTGGGGAACCAATCCTCTACAGAGAAATATCTATATGAGACTTCTGAATATTTTAAAGGTTTTTTAAAGAGTTTATATTTTCCAACATTCTCTGTTACTAATACAATCATATTTACACAAATGTCAAATATGTTCATGTCATTTTCTGCTCTAAATAATATATTAATAACTTGAAAGGATAACAAGTTTAAAAATTCACATGTGAAAAGGTGACCAAAAAAAAAAACCCCTTACGTTGCGTCGTCCACCCATTCTTCATTGTTGAGAAGTTCTTCAAGTTTAGGATTTGTAATCTGGACATCTCCCAATTCAACATCAGCACCTGACTGAAAGCCCACCACATCTGGAGTTTCCACAATAAGATGAGCATCTTGCCTAAAAAATAAATAATTTCTTAATTAGTATACACAGTATTTGATTCGCTATGGGGCTGTTCACAAAAGATGCCCACAAAAATTATGCATCTTTTCCACCCTCAAAACCCCCTTGTCCACACTTATCTGCATGTGGCTTACAAACTGCCGCCCACCCCACTCTTTTCCCAGTTGCGGATGTCAGCATCCAGAATTTTACAGTGTCACATGCCAGGAAGTGTAAAGAGCACATGCCAGGATGTAAAGTGTAAAGAGCAAGAGTATCTAGATTTAAACTTCTAAATAATTCTGATGATATAAATCATTAAAACAAAGTCAACCAGACCCGAGATTTATAGAATATTTTATTAAAGTCCAAACTCACATTGATTGCTTTTGATAATTAGCAATCAAATGTTTAGCGGGGTCTCTATCAAGAAATTTTACTAAATTCTTGGTCCTTTTAAGATAGTAATTATTTCACAAGGTTGAAAATAGATTAGCCAAAGATATTTCTGCAATTAAAAATTCAAACATACTAGCATACCCTGAGTGGGCCTAATGTAGCACACAAGAAAATATTATAGCTTGCAGATATCCTTTAAATCCACCCTTCCTTTTGTTCACAGTTGTCTACATTTGAGCAAAAACCCTCACCTCTTTGTGGACGTCCTTTAAAAACCACACCTGTTTAATTTTCAGTAAATAAATAAAGGAAAAAAAATTTCACCTGGATTCTTTATTATGTTCTTCGGTGATGTGGTCGACTTTTTTACATTTGTATCTCAATAAAAGCACCAGTGTCACAAAGGCAGCAACAAACACTAGTGCCAATATACCTATTGCTATGGCAACCACAAGTTCCATTGTTTAGAACAAGGTGTGAAGCCTGTGAAGAATAAATTAAAAAAAACACACAAATAACAAAGTTTTTTAAATAAATCCTTTATATACATTTCTGTTTGCATTTATGGAATTGTAGCCTGCATTTAATCATTTATGGGAGTGTAGCAACATATTTTTGGTATGGCAATGGTTTTTATCAAACTTAGTGCATGTAAAACCTAAAAGACGAAAGATTTATTTAAACCCAAATAAGCCACAAGTACAAAGAACATAGCAACATCTACACAATTAATCTCGACTCCAAAACATGTACCTATTGAACAAATCATATTGATTTATCTTCCCTTTAAAAAATAGGAAACAATTTTTTTTGGGGAGTTGGGGGCGGGGCTGAAAGTTTGAAAGAATGTGTTTCAAGCTCAATAGAATGATGGAAAGTGGGTCAATTAGCTTTCGGAAGATTTTGAGGCCACAAAGAAACACACAGAAGGGAAGTTTATATAATGGATTTTAAAATGTGCTATAAATGGAGCAGGTGAAAACTAGGTCGGGGAGGAAAGATTAGAGACAGTAGGCAGCTTCAAGTACCTAGGAGCAGTATTCTCAGAAGAAGGCTCTAAGCCCGAATTGATGTCCAGGATTGCCCAGACTATAACAGCACTAACAAGGCTTAAAAATATGGAACAACAAAAATATAGCCCCCAGCACAAAAATCGGGCTGATGCACTCATTAGTCTTCTTTATTTTCTTGTATGCCTACGAGTCCTGGACATTAACAGCAGAACTTGAAAGACAAAAAAAGGCAATGGAGATGAGAGAACCATTCTTGGCATCTGCTATAGATATCATATCTTCAATGAACAAGTGAAAGAAAGGGTTTGTCAAGCAATTGGGCAGTACGATGACCTCCTGGGGACTGTAAAAAAGCGAAAACTGGAATGGTATGGCCACATAACAAGAAAACAAGGGCTCGCCAAAGAAATCATGCATGGCAAAATGAGAGGAGGGAGAAGAAGAGGAAGACAGAGAAAAAGATGGAAAGATAACGTCAAAGAGTGGACGGGACTAAAACTAGAAGATGCTGTGCAAAGTGCAGAAAACAGAGGAATGGAGAAGGATAGTTTTCATGTCATCTGTGGCGCCCCAACGGTCCAAGGACTAAGGGACATGAAGATGATGATAAAAACTAGGAATCAAATGGAATGATTTAAAGATAAATGATAATTTCAAAATTCTTTATAAATATATCTGTAAACAAAATATATGATGTGACATCAGGCTTGTCTTTCAAAATATTTATTAAGACTTTTCAGCACAATGTCAGCTTATTTTTTAAGAAACGTATTATTGAGTCCAAGATGAATTAAAAATAAAATTTAAACTACCGTATTTATCGGCGTATAACACGCACTTTTTCTCCCTGAAAATAGGGGGCAAATGATGTGTGCGTGTTATACGCCGATATAACTTAAGTTTTTTTTCCCTGAAATTTCCTTCTTAAAATGAGGTGCGTGTTATACGCCGGAGCATGTTATATGCCGATAAATACGGTAACTGTGCATGTGCTGTATTTATAATTAATTATTTTCTAATACTTGCCAATTTTACTATGAAAATCACAAAAGCAACATATTGAAAAGTATAGAGAGCTCTTCACATGTATTTCAACAGCACCTGAAATAATAAAAAATATTATTTTATTTGTATGATTTATGCCATTAAATTTAGAGGACTGACGAATATACTAATTTTTCATAAATTAAGTTGAGATGATCAGGCGACCAGGTAGTGAAATATTTCATGTTGTTCATGGAAGAAATAAATTGATGGCAGAAGGTGATAAAGATGGTTTAATATTTTTTTAACAAAAATATGTTTTACTATCGATATACACTCTCTCCTAAAATGGGTAATGACTGGCATGGAATTAACTCTTCAAAGTTTAATAGTTTGTCAAAGCTACCATGTTGTATTTTTTTCATTGGTACTTTTTTGAAAAAAAGTGCAAAAACAATGCTGTAAAAAGTATTTTGCCAGCTTATACAAGAAACTGAGGCTGTCTGTAAGCTCACAAAGTGGCAAGCGTGTTCATCTCATGCTTTATATTATTTGTATACCCGGTACTAGCGAATGACTATACCTAGTCCTAGTTATATCATACTTATCTATGACTTAGTTATCTGATTGAAAACTGGGGCATGGTTGGGATTTGGTCAGTTTGAATTTGACTGTCTAAGTCTATATAGGACTATATTCTAATAATTAACACTTTATTAGGCTGCAGCTTTAGCGACCTGAGTGCAGCTCTGCCAGTCAGCCACATATCAGTTTTGACTCAAAAAAAACATGGTTCTTGAAAGGAAATTTGGCTCTCAAAATTTTTTTATCATCCTGCTGCTGATTTTTGGCTCTTTTGACTAATGACTTTGTCGACCACTGAGCTAAGGCTGCCATCAAAACCATCTATTCCCACAATGAGAGAACTATTTGAATTATTCATATGCTATATGGCCCATAGCATGGGGCACAGACACAGTATCTAAGAATCATCAAATGTTATCAAATTCTTTGAACTCTAATGAATTTTAATTAGATTAAACAGGTCACTGGGAAGCCAGGAATTCAGCACTTTGTAGTTAGAGTTATGCTAGAGTGAGACGTAAGACTCCTATAACTACTATAAGTTATAAGATAAGAATTAGAATATAGCACCCTGATTTAACCAATTCAATCTCACTCACAGATACACAGTAATCCTGAGTAGGACACTGCAGTACAATGTGTGAGTGAGTGACATTATTTAGGGACAATCCACAAATGATATAAAAATTTAGCTGATTGTTTCCCTTTCCCCCAATCATCAAAAATTATCAAACTTATTGGTATTATTTTTTTCTTGTTCTAGAAAGTTAATTAGATATAACAATATAATAATAATAATAATAAAGTTCATTTCAAAAACACTCTTCATCCCCAAAGGCTCGAAGCGTGGTACAAAGTCAACAAAAAACATATATATAATTTACCACATTTAAAACAAACGCAACACTACAAAAACTAATTACAAGCATACAATCTCAAAGTCTTTCTAGCCATTTCAACCCGGAGAACACAGCCATTATGCATTAACTGGAAAATAAGGTAGACAATCATCCCAGAAGGTATTTGCGAAATAGATGTGTCTTTAGATCGGTTTTAAAGGACTCCAGTGTCTGGTTGTTTCTGAGATCGACTGGAAGGGCGTTCCAAATTGTTGGACCAGCAAATGCGAAAGTGCGCTTTCCGTAAGTCTCAAGGCAAACACGTGGTGTCGAGAGTTTGCCACTATCGGATGAGCGGAGCTCTCTAGTGGGTACATAAGGC